CTTTACAACCGGGGGGCTGATATTCGCGCGCCTAATTGATACATTAATCAAGGTTGATCCCTAGGAAAGAAAGGAATAAAAGAGTCCGACATATATTCGACTGGGAGCAATTTTGCAGACCTCCCTTCCTTCCCGGTTGATCCCGATCGATCTCTGAGGGAACGCGTCCCCGTGTCAGCATGACGGTCAATTAATGCGCTGAATTAATTAGCCGGACGATCAGACCAGTGTACGGAATTAATAATCGTAATGCGAGCTGCGTAATAATTACGACAACCTGCCTTCCACCATCCTTCGCTCAGGTTAATTCAATGTAAATATATGTAAGTGCTACGTATACACGCTCGTGTTCCGGGGGGTACGGCCGATTTAAATGTTCCTCGAGCCTTGGAATTATTGTGATCCTTCGACGAAAAGGAACTGTCCGTGGCGGGATAATAACCAGCATTCGCGTGAACTTCGTACGAACAGCACGCTCCCAATCGAATGTACACGGTGTATGCGAAATTGGAAACAGGTGTTCCCCAGTCGAGAATGGGAATTTTGTTCGATAATCGGAGGCTTCGAATTTTTCCAGTAGTCTTCAGGGATTAAATAGAGGTTAATTGATATTTGGAGATTGTATATTTATTTATTTATTTATTTTTAGGTGGGTAATATTCTTCGGTTGCAATGTGTGAGATGAATATTTAATTAAAGAGATATACAAGGTTCAAATGGTGATTTTTAACACTAGAACTACCGATTTTTAATGGGTATCTAACTATAACCTGCACAGATTATAGTAATTTCAGCGGTACAATGAATATGAGTGAATATATCGATTACAGTTCTTTCTTGATACGAGTTGATATCAATTTTATTCTTAAAGCAGCTGTATGTGTTCGGTGATTGCAAAAAGGAAAATTCTGGGATCAGTTGGTAGTTCTAGTGTTAATATTTTATTGGAAATTTCGCATTCAACATTGTCGCTTTGGTCACCTGTCTTTGAATTTTTCTAGTGATCTTCAGGGATTAAATAGGGGTTGATTGATATTTGGAGATTGTATATTTATTTATTTATTCATTTTTAGGTGGGTAATATTCTTCGGTTGCAATGTGTGTGATGAATATTTAATTAACACTAGGTTTACGGACGCTATCTGTATACCTATTTCTAAAAACACCTGTCAAATTGACAGGTAAAGGAAACCACGTGTCTTTTGTTTTAACGATTAGTTTAATTTAAAGACAATTATATATTATATTAACAGTCTTAATATAAGTTAATTAAATCTGTTACCATCGTATAATTGGAGCAACCCTTCTGTCAAATTCACGGGTTCCGTAAATCTAGCGTTAAAGATATATACAAGGTTCAAATGGTGATTTTCAATATTTCATTGGAAATTTCGCATTCAACATTGTCACCTTGGTCACTCGTCTTTGCGATTTATTTTTGTTGTATCTTCTCGTGCTATATTTATGCAATGTATGAGTTTAATATTTAATTAGGGAGATATTTGAAATGCAACCTACCAAGATCCTAATGGTGATTTGTAATTTTTACGTTTCAAAGTTGTCACTTTGGTCACTCGTCTTTGCAATTTATCTTTCTGATGTCTTCTCGTGTTTCATTTTTTCCTAAATTTCTCTTATTTATTTTTCTTTGAGCAGCCATGGTAGGTTAGTATTAAGATCATACCCTTTTTCGTTGTATAATGGACGTCAGAATAATGATCGATGGTAACATCCCGAGTTCGATTTTTATATTTCGGGAGATAGGGTAAACGCGTTTGAAAAGTTTACCGTAATAAAATACGCGAGGGGCGTGTTGTCATCGCCAGGTAAAAATGCACCGTGGACACACCCTGTATACAGGTGGTTGCGGCTGCAAGCGGCTACGACAGGAAGTCGTTACGGGATACCGGTAACCGTGAGGCTAAGTCAAATCGATGCACGCGAGGTGCTTTCGAAACTCGCTCGCTCCTCCCACTGCAGAAAATAAATAATAACGCGCGAGTAGCCAGTTATTGCTCGTGGGACGATACCACCACCGGGTCTGTCTCGCTTAGGATCTTCCAACTCGTGACAAACGAAACACGTATTTCTTTGTTTACTCTTATTTTCGCTTTTCTCTGGTAATATTTAGATTGTTAATTTGCGAGATAATTACTCATGAAGATGAAATTTTGTATTGCAAATGGCAACTTATGATAGTGGACTTTTGCGAGTAAATAATTCGTCACGACTTAGGTAACTTTGGAACGTGATTGTACCATGTATGATTCATTTTCTTTCCCTTTTCTGGTAATATTTGGATTGTTAATTTGGAAGATAATTTCTGATGAAGATGAAATTAGGTATTGCAAATGGTAGCTTATGATAGTGGATTTGTTATAGGTGAATTATTCGTCACGACTTAGGTAATTTTGGAACGTGATTATACCTTGTATGATTCATTTTCTTTTCTTTCTTTGATAATATTTTGATTGTTAATTTGGGAGATAATTTCTGGTCAAGACAAAAATGCATATTGTAAATGGTAGCTTATGATAGTGGATTTGTTATAGGTGAATTATTCGTCATGACTTCGGTAATTTTGGAACGTGATTGTACCATGTATGATTCATTTTTGTTCCTTCTTCTGATAATAATTGCATTTTTATTTTAGGCGATAATTTATGGTGAAGATGAAAATAGATATTGTAAATGGTAGCTCATGACAGTGGATTTTTATAGCTGAATTGTTAGTGACGATTTAGGTAATTTTAGAGCGTGATTGTGCCATGTATGATTCATTTTCTTTCCTTTTTCTGGTAATAATTGCATTTTTATTTTGAGTAATGATTTATGGTGAAGATGGAAATAGATATTGCAAATGGTATCTTATGACAGTGGATTTTGATGGGTGAATTGTTCATTACGATTTAGATAATTTTAGAGCGTGATTGTGCCATGTATGATTTCTTTTCTTTTCTTTCTTTGATATTTGGGTTGATAATTTGGGAGATAATTTCTGACCAAGATAGAAATGCATGTTGTAAATGGTAGTTTATAACAGTGAATTTTTGTGAGTAAATTGTTCGTCGCAACTTAGATAATTTTAGAATCTGATTGTACCATGTATATGATTCATTTTCATTCCTTTTTCCCAGTAATATTTGGATTGTTAATTTGGGAGATAATTTCTGACGAAGATGAAATTGGATATTGCAAATGCTAGCTTCTGACAGTGGATATTTATGGGTAAATAGTCACGACTTAGGTAATTTTAGAATCTGATTGTATCATGTATATGATTCATTTTCTTTCCCTTTTCTAATAATATTTGGATTGTTAATTTGGGAGATAATTTCTGACGCAGAGAAAATGGATGTTACAAATGGTAGCTTATGACAATGGATTTTTATGGGCAAATAGTTCGTCACGATTTAAGTAATTTTAGAACGTGATTGTGCCATGTATGACTCATTTTCTTTCCTTTTTCTGGTAACAATTGCATTTTTATTTTGGATGATGATTTCTGGCGAAGATGAAAATGGATATTGCAAATGGTAGCTTATGACAGTGGATTTTTGTAAGTAAATAATTCCTCATGACTTAGGTAATCTTAGAGAGTGATTGTACCATGTACATGATTAATTTTCCTTCCTTTTTGCAAGTAATATTTGGATAGTTAATTTAGGAGATAATTTCTGGCCAAGATGAAAATGGATATTGTAAATAATAGTTTATAACATTGGATTTTTATGAATAAATAATTCGTCACGACTTAGATAATTTGGAGCGTGATTGTACCATCTATGATTCATTTTCTTTCCTTTTTCTGGTAACAATTGCATTTTTATTTTGGATGATGATTTCTGGCGAAGATGAAAATGGATATTGTAAATGGTAGTTTATAACAGTGGAGAGAATTAAACTCTTGAGAGAATTAAATAGACACGTGTGTTTCAAGTGTAACCTATGCAATTCGTGCAGTGAATAACCCATATATCCATTCGTGTCCACAAATTATTCTTTTCCTTCAAAAGAAAATTGACAATTCCAAATAAATAAACAAATTTCGCGCTCCATGGATGCTTACTTTGTCTCTGTCAATTATTTCTGCCAAGTAACCCGAAGTTTAGTTAGAAAACTACTTGTGGGATCTGGTACGCGGATTGGAAGACGGAAACGAGAAGCCGATCGAAAGAAACGCGTCGGCTGAGGATGAAAAGCAGTTAACGGCATATCATGAGAAGAGAGAGCGATTCAGCGTCGTGGAGGATCTTTCTCACGGAGCTCTTCGCTATAGGGCAAAGATGTCTGCATATGCCCGACGACACGATTATGATTTATGCCGAATCGAATCGAGCCTGATTTATGAGAACGTAATGTTCTTAACTCTAGGATATGCCTGCCTGGAAGGCGGCTCGTGCAACGATTTCCGAAACGCATTCTGACGGTCGAACTCGAGTGAAACGGTTCAGTTGTCGCTGCAGGCAACGCCATGATAAAAGAAGCGTTTTCCATTAAACACGTATCGGTTTGGCTTACGTTTACTAATAATAGTTCCAAACGGTTTGCACGGGAAATTAGCAGAATCTCCCATTGTACTAGCCCCTCAGAAACGAATTTGTTCCCAGTTCGATGATTACACGGGCCATTAAATTTCAGGCAACGCGGGAAAAATCGAACTGTGATTATACACAATGATATTCCCGAGAGATACATGGCTGTAGATTTATTAGATTAATTAGGGTACTTAATAAAATCTCGAACGAGCAATTATTGCACGCGGATGCAATATCCGAATGATGGAATGGCCAATCTGTGGAATTAAAAATCTTACACAATGCCTGTATCTACACGGTGTTTATCTTAATCTGTAGAATCTAAAATTCTTTTATTATCGAAGTGTGTGTTATTACCGTGATTTACTGCGTGTCCAACTGTCGATGCAAATTTCGTTTGGGAAATTCTGTAATGAGCTGTGATTTATCTCTATATTTCTCTGTGATTTATCTCGTGTTTGTCTATCGCCTCTTTTTCTTCCCCTTCTTGCCCTTTCTGCGTTTCGGAACCACCGTTGGATCTATCAAGGGTGCGAGGGGTAGCTTAGGGGGTGGGCTTCCTAGTGCAAGTCGATCAGCTCCTGGAGAAATTCCGACGATTTCTGTCATCAGGTTCTCTGCTGGACCAGTATCCAATAGATTATCCATCACTCTGTTCTCCAAGTTCGTGAAATTATCTCCAGAGTTGGCTCCTGTTTTGCCTGGGTTCTTCGTGGAGCACTTGTATTCCGGTCCCTCGAGGTTGTTCTTGAAGACAAAGCAGTTGGGAGCGAGGACGTAGGATGTTATGAGGCTTCTGAAGCATTGTGTAATTACGCGATTAAATAACGACGAGATGATATGCTTCAGAAATTATTTCGTTTTTTATTTATTTATTATATAATTTATTATTCGTATTTTATTTTTATCTACGAATTTGAAAAGATTCCCAAAGAGTTTGGTTTATTCGCGATTTTTTTAAGATAATATTTTTAACTTATTTTCTAAATTTTTATACTTTTTAATACCTTCCTAAATTTATAACCCTGATGTCGAGATCTAATTGGCCAGCGAAGCTTTCACCAACATCCAACAGATCAAATGGACCTGTAAATATGTATGGGTTCGGTGTCTCGATGCATGTTGTACCCTGAAACACGAATTTTTCCATAATCTCATTTCCACTGTGATATTGTAAAATAGTAAAAATACTATCGTTGAACATTCCTTAATAAAATAGACATTTTTTGAAATGGTGGAATATTTAAATACTTAACACGTTAAGTGCCCAGCCCGTTTTGCTTGCCGTTCCGTTTAGGCCCAGAATCGGCTGTCAAGTGGGCCACCAATGGCGGGAGAGGTATTCACAAAGCTCGGAGACACTGTACCAATTGTTATAACAGGAATTCCCAAATGTTAGATCCAAAGATGACGAAGAATTTAACACCAGAAGCTAACACCTTTTGGTCCCAGTCTGAGCCGGGCCCGAACGGAAAGACAAGCGCCGTCCCTGGGGATCAGCATAGCACTTAACGTGTTAAAGACATCCGCGCGTTTCTTCCGTCCCACCAGTAATGATATTGGTACAGTATCCCCGGAAATAATAGGTTTCCGATTTTTCCAATTTTCGCCATTACTGGTGGGACGGAAGGAACTCGCGGGAGTCTTTAACGCGTTGAGTGCTATGCTGGTCCCCAGGGTCCAGCCCAGACTAGGACCAAAAGGTGCTAGCTTTTGGTGTTAAATTCTTCGCCATCTTCGGACCTAACGTTTGGGAATTCCTGTTATAACAATTGGTACAGTAATGGCGAAAATTGGAAAAATCGGAAACCTATTACTTCCAGAGATACTGTACCAATTGTTATAACAGTAATTCCCAAACGTTAGATCCAAAGATGACGAAGAATTTAACACTAAAAGCTAGTACCTTTTGGTCCTAATCTGAGCCTGAAGACCGCCCGGGCCCGAAAGGAAAGTCTAGCTCCGTCCCTGGGGACTGGCGTGGCACTTAACGTGTTAATTAGTGATATTTAATAATTTAAAGTATTAATATTTCATACTTTTAATATTTCTAATTATCGTATGATGCATGACAAAGTTGCAAAAATGCAAATTTTATTTTTCTTCCAATTCTGTCAAGATTGCCATAAAATTATTTTAAAAGTGCGTGTTCTGAGAGAAAATATTAAAGTATCGCGAATCTTATCGAGAAAGTTTAATAATAATTTCTCACCATGTCGCAAGCACATCCACTTAGACGAGTGTGTACATAGCACACTGGAAAATTGTCGTCCACCTTAAAAACACCGACCTTTAACCAGGCCTTCTTCATTTTCTTCACCAGCTCCTCGCACGGCATGGAGAAGTGATAAGACTGGCCACCTTTGAACTCATAAACGTAAATTTTTTCGTCTTTAAGAAATCGACCGCGCTCGGGTACTTGAGTGGCTGGGAAATTAATGAACATGACTTTTACGACGAGCGTTGAACCGTCCGTGTCCGTGTATACGTCTTTATTTAACATTAATTGGGATACGTAAACGTCGAAAAGGTATAACCCGATCATAATGGAACTTTATGTTCCATTTAATTCTATGTCTTTACGAGGTTACAAAATACCTGAGAATTTCGCGATATGAAGTTGCCACAGTGACACGTAAATTTATCGAGAATCGTTAGCAACTGTGAACCAAGCGTTCACGTGCAAAATTTCTTTGTAGAGAAAATTTTCTAATTAATTATTCCTAAATTTTTTCTGAAATATATGATTTATTTTTTATAACCGTTTTACACGAATTGACAACAATTATAGGGAAGAGAATTATAGGGAGTCAATATAAGAAGATAGGGAAATTTATATATTTATTAAAATATCTAGGGAATATCTAGGGAAGTTTATATATTTATTGACAGGAGTTCAGAAACAAGGTATTGATTTGCAAATTTTTATATATTTTTAGTATCTCGTTAAAATTATACAAAAATTTGCAAGTTATTTCTTTGTAGAGAAATTTTTCTAATTAATTATTCCTAAATTTTTTCCGAAATATATAATTTATTTTTTTATAACCATTTTATACAAATTGACATCAATTATAGGGAGTCAATATAAGAAGATAGGGAAATTTATATATTTAGTGAAATATCTAGAGAATATCTAGAGAAGTTTATACATTTATTATCAAAAATTCAGAAACAAAGTAATGAGTTGCGAATTTTTATATATTTCTAATATCTCGTTAAAATTATACACAAATTTTTAGGTTATTAATTTTCCTCAGTATAACAGGAATATCAAGGTAATTATGTTCGCGAATCGCAGAATTTTCTAAATATATTCTCAAACCCATAGGTTTCTAGCTAATTACCAAAATTCCACGAGAGTATTAATAAGTACACCGATCTTCCATTAAATTCAATCTTCGTCATGCACATAATTATTTAATCCTCCAGAAGTCTCACACGTCACAGTAAATCAATTAAAATTCTTAACAATTAAAGAGAATTAATCAAAAAATAAACCAAACCTGGACTTCGTGAAAGTTATCTATTTCAAGATAAACACTATAATAAAACCAAGCAGTTCATACTACCATGAAAAAATTTGCAAAAATGATCGTAATAGTATTCGAACCTGTCATCAATTAAATTCAATCTTCATCATGCACATAATTATTTAATCCTCCAGAAGTCTCACACGTCACAGTAAATCAATTAAAATTCTTAACAATTAAAGAGAATCGATCAAAAAATAAACCAAACCTGGACTTGATGAAAGCTTTCTATTTCAAGATAAACACTATAATAAAACCAAGCAGTACATACTACCATGAAAAAATTTGCAAAAATGATCGAAATAGTATTCAAACCTGTCATCAATTAAATTCAATCTTCGTCATGCACATAATTATTTAATCCTCCAGAAGTCTCACACGTCACAGTAAATCAATTAAAATTCTTAACAATTAAAGAGAATCGATCAAAAAATAAACCAAACCTGGACTTGATGAAAGCTTTCTATTTCAAGATAAACATTATAATAAAACCAAGCAGTACATACTACCGTGAAAAAATTTGCAAAAATGATCGAAATAGTATTCGAACCTGTCATCAATTAAATTCAATCTTCGTCATGCACATAATTATTTAATCCTCCAGAAGTCTCACACGTCACAGTAAATCAATTAAAATTCTTAACAATTAAAGAGAATCGATCAAAAAATAAACCAAACCTGGACTTGATGAAAGCTTTCTATTTCAAGATAAACATTATAATAAAACCAAGCAGTACATACTACCGTGAAAAAATTTGCAAAAATGATCGAAATAGTATTCGAACCTGTCATCAATTAAATTCAATCTTCGTCATGCACATAATTATTTAATCCTCCAGAAGTCTCACACGTCACAGTAAATCAATTAAAATTCTTAACAATTAAAGAGAATCGATCAAAAAATAAACCAAACCTGGACTTGATGAAAGCTTTCTATTTCAAGATAAACATTATAATAAAACCAAGCAGTACATACTACCGTGAAAAAATTTGCAAAAATGATCGAAATAGTATTCGAACCTGTCATCAATTAAATTCAATCTTCGTCATGCACATAATTATTTAATCCTCCAGAAGTCTCACACGTCACAGTAAATCAATTAAAATTCTTAACAATTAAAGAGAATCGATCAAAAAATAAACCAAACCTGGACTTGATGAAAGCTTTCTATTTCAAGATAAACATTATAATAAAACCAAGCAGTACATACTACCGTGAAAAAATTTGCAAAAATGATCGAAATAGTATTCGAACCTGTCATCAATTAAATTCAATCTTCGTCATGCACATAATTATTTAATCCTCCAGAAGTCTCACACGTCACAGTAAATCAATTAAAATTCTTAACAATTAAAGAGAATCGATCAAAAAATAAACCAAACCTGGACTTGATGAAAGCTTTCTATTTCAAGATAAACATTATAATAAAACCAAGCAGTACATACTACCGTGAAAAAATTTGCAAAAATGATCGAAATAGTATTCGAACCTGTCATCAATTAAATTCAATCTTCGTCATGCACATAATTATTTAATCCTCCAGAAGTCTCACACGTCACAGTAAATCAATTAAAATTCTTAACAATTAAAGAGAATCGATCAAAAAATAAACCAAACCTGGACTTGATGAAAGCTTTCTATTTCAAGATAAACACTATAATAAAACCAAGCAGTACATACTACCATGAAAAAATTTGCAAAAATGATCGAAATAGTATTCGAACCTGTCATCAATTAAATTCAATCTTCGTCATGCACATAATTATTTAATCCTCCAGAAGTCTCACACGTCACAGTAAATCAATTAAAATTCTTAACAATTAAAGAGAATCGATCAAAAAATAAACCAAACCTGGACTTGATGAAAGCTTTCTATTTCAAGATAAACATTATAATAAAACCAAGCAGTACATACTACCGTGAAAAAATTTGCAAAAATGATCGAAATAGTATTCGAACCTGTCATCAATTAAATTCAATCTTCATCATGCACATAATTATTTAATCCTCCAGAAGTCTCACACGTCACAGTAAATCAATTAAAATTCTTAACAATTAAAGAGAATTAATCAAAAAATAAACCAAACCTGGACTTCGTGAAAGTTATCTATTTCAAGATAAACACTATAATAAAACCAAGCAGTTCATACTACCATGAAAAAATTTGCAAAAATGATTGACATAGCATTCAAACCTGTTGTCAATTATAAATAACGTGAGAACTCGGTTTTCTCCATAAATCCATTCAATTCGCGATATCAAAATTCGATCCATCTCGTGACGAAGCTTCAGCAGAGATGTTCTTCTGATCGGTAAGCAAGATTCGCGAGTCGTTTGTCGAGATCGGTGAATTATAGCCAGGTCACTATGCTCACCGAATCTTTCATGCTCGTCCCGACCGGGTTAAACGCGCCAGTTTGCGAACGATGAAAGACGAAAGGGTTTAGGTGTCTGGGTTAGGCATAGGTTAAGTCAGGGTTAGGAACCGCGAAACCGGTTTGAGAACTCGGAGTCGGTGGTTCAGAGCCGAAGTGATTTACAGTTAGACACGCGGATTGATAGACTCGTTCGCGATAATTGTCGAAACATCGTTAGCTGTTTGTAACCGAATTATTTATTCGCATGATCGTGCGTTGTTTGAGAGATGGCAGATGGTGAAGGATGATTGAGATCAGAGAAACTTAACGCGAAATGAAGCGATTTTGGATCATTCGTCATTGTGCAAATTGTGAACTGGAGTAAAATTAAATTCTAGGGGTTAATTTGTAAGAAATTGAGGGTATAGGAGGAGAAGGATAGGTAATTTTTATATTTTGTTCCGAGTTAGGTAGTTTAACTTTGTATGGAAAACTAGCACGTGAATCCTAGCCTAGGAAATTTATTTACGAGTACTTGGGAGTAAACGCATGCATCTCCCGTCGTCTATTAATATATTCTCAATAAAAATTTCTAGAATTGAAAACCTACAAAGAAAATATATAAATCTGAAAGGAAATGGATTAGAAAAAAATAAAGAAAATGAAAATGAAACGAATATTAATTATAAAAATTAACTAAATGGAGTGAAGAATCCATCGATGAGATATAAAGAAATGTTGAAATATTATATGTAATATTCGAATCCTCAAATAAAAATAAATAGAAATGGGAAAAAAGATCCGAAAAAATAAAAGTAATTAAAATCTGAAGAGAACGATGAATTGAAAAATAAGAAATAATAAATTATATCTGGAAAGGAAAATTATTATTAAATTATTTATGGGGATGGAGTGTGAATGCAAAGAACTACCCCAATCTCATTTTCACTCCATCTCATTTCCTGCGTATAACGAAAATCTTAATATTGTATTGATAAATTAGAGATGTTGAAACGAAAAAGAATTAAAATCTAAAAAATAATAAATTAGACCTGGAAAGAAAAATTATTATTAAATTATTTATGGGAATGAAGTGTGAGTGTGGGGAACGATCCCTACCTCATTTCCACCCCATCCCCACTCACGTGTACACTGAAAATTTTAATATTATTTTTATGAATTGGGGATATTCTCATCTAATTTGTAAAAAAGCAACGAACCTCCTCATTTTCTTGCTTTTCGCAGAATACTACATTTTCACCAAAAATCGTGTGTTCTTAGAAAAACTCACATTTTTCGGAAACTGAAACTGATCGAGTGATTTCCATTTTTTCCATTTCAACAAAGTAAACTCTATAACAATCACCCAATGAATATTACATATTAGAAATAATATTACAATCTTTTGGAGAGTGTAATTATTAATTCACCGAGGCGATTTTAATTTTTAATTTTATTTTTAAACAAAATATAAGATATTTATATGAAGCTTTCGCTATAAATATGCATACTTATAACATAATAAGCTCGAAATAGGTGGTTGTTCCGTATAAAATTTATACGAGGCTATATTCGGATGTAAATATATTTTATCGACAGTAATCGCATCGAT